AATAAAGACAAGATAAGGTGGAATAAAAAAAGGATAAAACATGTGATTATTGTTGAAAAGAATTATTGAGATATTATTTGGCTTGCTATATGAAATCAATATAATTGTTATCTAAATATTGAGTTTGTTATGATATTTCCTTGAGTTGTATTTTATAAGCATGCTAGCTTCCTTGAATTATGATTTAAACTTTTCTAGCATATGCTTGACATATAATGCTTGTGGGTGCGCGTGCGTGCATGTGTATTTACTCCTTCCTTAAGCATGCTATCTTGTGATGCTATAATATCTTTTGAAATTTTTTATAGATGAATGGTAATTACATATTGTGAAAACCTACTAGACCAGGTTCTTTTATCAACCTATGATACACCGTAACCTTCAAAGAGGTTACTAAGACATTATCTCACTCATATTTTAAATGTTGTATGAATGACTAACGGAGCTTTGACAAGGGAACAGGTATAAGGACCACCAACTCCTTGAGGAGTATAATTTAGAGAATGACCCTATTACCATACTATAGTAATAATTGCCTTTATTAAATAGTTTATTTAATACTTTTGCTTTCTTTTTACTTTAGAATGTATATGTTTAGAAAAAGAGAACTTTTAACCTGTCTTACTATGGTAGTTTTGAAGGATGTTTGAAAACTTTTTTTTCCCTACCATAATAGGGACTTGCTAGAATTAATCTCGTTAAATATCATGGTATGATTAAGGTCAATCTTTTCTCTGATACTAGTCCCTTTCCTACCATGGTAGTTAAAGTCCTTTTCTATGATGGTAAGGGACGATTAAGTGTTGGTTTTGGATGAAGTTATTGTAACATCCTAGAAATTTAATCCTTATTAACTAAGCCTAATTGTGATAGTTAAGTGCATTAATGCGATGTGTGGCTAGAGAGGTCTAATAAGGTGTTTGATTGTGATTTCAGCCTTAAATTCCATCCAAAATGAAATCAAGTCACTCGAATGTGAAAAAGTAAGAAAAACAAAAGAAAGAGGCTCTGTGCCACATGCCGCAGCGTGCACAACCTCCACTTGTGCATATGTGCCATTTCATGAGCCTAGGCCTCTTTATGTCATCTATTGTGGTGCATGATACGTGCGTCACGACATATGGTAAAAAGTTTGCAAAAAAATAAAGCATTATTAGACTCAAAAATCAAAAGAAGAAGGAATAGAAAATGAAGAGCAAGCAAAATTCTCTACTAAGACTTGCTACATTAGAGGTTTAGGAACATTTTAGAGCTAGAGAACACCCAAGGTAAGTGTACTAAAATTCCTCCTACCTTTCTATTCCATTTTTTTTTTTGAAGAGATGAGTTAAGGTTTGAATTAGAGAAATGATTTTTGGCCTATATAGGCTATGTGTCCAAATCCATTAACTTAAATAGAGTTAATGGGAGTTGTTTAGGTTATTTAAACCTAGCATTAATGGTTTTATAAGTAGTTGGTTGGTAAATGGTAATAATTTCTGAAAATAAGCATAAATGATCTAGTTTTTTTTGTTTTGAAGCCATTAATGGTAGTCTAATGACTTATTAATGGCAATGTGAGTTAAAGGAACTTAGTAGACTCAATGGGTATGTTTGATATTGGTAGGTTGTGATTTTGGATGAATTGAAATAATGAGATAAAGTGTTAAAAATTATACAAATGAGGATGTTATTGATTATCTTTGTGGTTGTATTGTAGACTAACCAAAATTTGGCACCATTCAGGCTTGAAAAGAGCTTTGAAAATTTGTGTTTTGAGTGAATTGAAATAATGAGATGAAGTGTTGAAAATTATACAAATGAGGATGTTATTGATTATCCTTGTGGTTACATTGTAGGCTAACCAAAATTTGTCACTATTGGTTCATATATTCCAAGCTTCAAGTTAATTCTTGTCTTATACATTAACAATTTTCAAGTTCGATTAGATAATGTGATTGTAGGATGAAGGATTAGGAACTGAAGGATATATTATGCAATAAAATAGCATGGTCTATTAGAAACTTTAGCACTTTGAAGACCAATACACCATATTATTCTGAGGTTTTCACTATAAGAAATCATGCTTGATAATTGAAATTCATCTTGCACATCATTCATCTCTTGTTTTCTTAAGAATCTCTTCTTTGATAAATGCAACAATTCCTCATTTCTTTCTTCTCCACTTTTTCATTTATTGTCATATTTCTTTTTGGTTTTATCAATGATAATGTAGCATTTTTAAATTTGGCTAAAATTATATGTAAACATTGTTTTATAGGGGTTATGAGAATTGTTGCAGGGAAGTTACTGCATACAAAGAACGACAAGATGAGAAGCCTTTAGCAATGTATTTATGTGTAGTTGATGCTTCGAATTTGCCTCAAGGGTGGAGTATATATGCAAATTAAGCCATAACTGTGGTTAATCAAATTTCCAGGGAAAAATTTGTTAAAAGAGGTATTATTTATTCATTATTATTAAGTGAAGCCGTGAGCATATATTATTTTTATTTTCTTGCAATCCCAATTTAATTTGATGTATGTTAGAGTGACTAATATGCAAAGGTAAGTGAACTCATTAAGATTTATGTAGATATTCATTGTCAAGGTTACCATATTTTTATGCCTTTGAGTCAACTTCAAGACCCATCTAGTAGGTGTATTTCAAAGGATGAATGTATTGTTGAAGTTGAAATCTATTATTGAAGTGGAATTATAATCTAACAAGTTACCCTACTTATCCTTCTTTATTCAAGGAAGTCAAAGAAGCTCTTATAGATCTAAAGAAAGATGAGATTAATCACAAGGATTTAGGAAGAATAGAGAAATCAATAGTTTCACTACTAGAGCAAGTTTGTTGGTCTCATCCTTCATTATTGGAATGTGAGAGTAATAAAAGTTGTAGGTTCATAAAGTGGGCATTTAAAGCTTTAGGTCAAGTTCTGCAATTTTTGGAGAACAAGAAGTGGAAGGGTATGATGAATGAGGAGCCATATGACTAGCTTCAATGTCTGTGGGAAGAACTTGAGATGAGTGCATTAGAGTTAAGTTGGTTTGAGCCTATTGTTAAATCTACTTTAAATATAAGAGAATATGGGGAGAAGGCAAAGAAAGTGGATACGTTAAAGCAAAACTTGATGCTTATGTTTGCTATCATTCTTTCTTCAAACCAATGAATATAAAGAATTCAATTTAATAAAAACTTAATTCTATTAATATTGGCGTAAGTGTAACTATTAGAGAAATGATAGTAGAAACATTTTTAATTGTGATTGTCTTGATGATAAGACTACCTCCCTTCGAGCCTTAGATCTAGAGCTTGAACCCTATACTGTTTGTGTGGGTGAGTTTCAAACATATAATTTTTTTTTAATTCCTATCAAATTATCTATGAGATAGTATTTTTTTTATAGAATTATATTACTTTTTTGTTGTGAAAAACAATTTAATTTATACAGTTTTTATTTGGTGGTTTATGCTTGTGAGGAATCTTGGGTTATGAAAGTGAGTAGACAATACTAGCATTGGTAAAGAATTACTTGATACCTACTCTGCATTTGAAATATCTGAGTCTTAAGAATAATGATATGCATCATAGAATCTCTTCCATGTATGTAACAAGAGAGGAACATCCATTTTCCTATTTCTCATTATTTGTTATCTTTTCCTTTTTAATCTTATTATAATTCCTCTTCCACCAACTTTCAATGCATTTTTATTTTGCCACATTCACTACTAGGCTTGTGTGAATTAATTTTCAAGTTTGAATAATTTTGGTTTTGTTATAATCAAGTATAAAACTATTTTTTAGTATTGTATACATCAATTGAGGGGCTTTTGGTTTTATTATATGCAGGCATCGATCATAAGTTGATGATTTGATGAAGAGTCAAGAGCCTAAGTATATAACATACAAGAAAATAGCATGGACTATCACAACTTCAATTTATTGAAGACCAATACTCCACATCATTTTGAGGTTTTCATGATTAGCAGTTATGATTGGTAGAATGAAAACTATATCATACACACATTTTTAATCTCTAGCTTTCATCAAAAATTGTAATTAAAATTGCCTCATTGACAAGGCTACCTCCTTTTGAGCTTAAGGTCAAAAGCTCAAAGCCTATATTGGTATGTACGCATAAGTTGTAAATTTAGAATTAATTCATTTTCTTGAAAAAGAAAATTTCCTTTGAGATTATATTTGAAATAGTATATTGTTTTTTATAGAAAAATATTATTTCTTTAATTGTGAAAAACAATTGGGTTCCGTATAGACTCTATTTAATGGTATATGCTAGTGTGGAATCTTGAGTTATCCAAGTTATTGGACAACATTAGCTTGGTAAAGAATTACTTAGTACCTATTCTCCATTTGAAATTTCTAATTCTCAAGAACAATGACATTCATCTTGGAATCTCTTCCCTATATGCAACAAGAAAGGAACATTCATCTTCTTGTTTCTCATGCTCTATTTCCTTTTCTATTTTAATCCCTTTATATTTCCTCTTCCTCTAACTTTCAATGCATTTCTCTTTTTCCATATTCATTGATAGCCTTGACGTGTTGGTTTTAAATCCTATGCACCCTCTAGCTTGTGTGAATGAACTCCTAAAATTGTGATACTAAAATATGAAACTATTTTTGGTGTTCTATATGTCAATTGAGAAGTTTTTGATTTTTATTATATGTAGGAATCAATGATAAGTTGATGATATAATGAAGAGTCAGGAGTGCAAGGATATAACATACAAGAAAATAGTATAGACTATCAGCAACTTTAGTTCACTGAAGACCATTATTGCACACATTTTTAAGGATTTCACGATTAGCTACTATGCTTGGTAGAATGAAATCTATCATACACACATATTTTTCATCTCTCAGTTTCATTAAAATCTCTTATTCTATAAATACAATTTCTTACTTATTTCTTTATCTATTTTCAGTCATTGTGTGTGTGTGTGTGTTATAGAAATATTTGGTTATACAAAGGAACAGAATATGGAAAGTACATGGGTATATTTTTGAATGTAGCTAATGTTTTAAGTTTGCCTCAAGGTTGGAGTATATATGCAATTTACACTTTCATTGTGGCCAATCAAGTTTACAATGAGAGATTTAAAAAAGCAGGTATCAATCTGTACTCCTTCACATTGTTTATTTTTCTTCCATTTCATAGTAGTGTGTAAATAAAATATTAGACTGTGAAGGCCTCATTATTACAAGTGTACAATAATTTTAAGTTAGAATAGGATGAATTATAATCATACTCTTTCATTAATGTTCCTTTAATGTAGATTTAGAACACAAGTTCGATGATGTTTATGGTTGTGGTTGGGGTTATGTATCTTTTATGAAATTGACTTAGTTTTAGGACCCATTAATGGCTATATTTTGAATGATAAAGCATCATTGAAGTTGAATTTTCTAAGGTAAGCCCCGTAGGCACTCAAGCATTAGTCTTAAAGGATGATGATGCCACTAAGTTCAAGGATTTGGGACTACTAGAGAAAGCATTGGTTCCACTGCTAGAGGAGCCTTGTTTATGGCATCCTTCATTGATGGATTGTAAGCAAAAGAGAAGTTGTAAGTTTACTGAGTGGGCACTTACTACATTGGGTCGAGTTTTGCAATTCTTGAAGAACAAGAAGTGGAAGGATATGAATGAAAAGGCATGTGAAGAGCTTCAACATTTGTGGGAGGAACTTGAGATGAGTAGATTATACTTGAGGTGGCTAGAGCCTCTTGTTAAATATGCTTTAAATAAGAGAGGATATGCTAAAAAGGTAGAGAAATTGAACAAGCTGAAGTAAGACTTGAGGGTTTTGGAAATAGAAATGAACAAGATCAAGGAAAAGCTAGCAAGTACAAAATAGAGCACTGAGATGATAGGAAAAGAATTAGTGAATGTAGAAGATGACTTTGAAGAGAAGGATTTGGAAGAAAATATTAGATATAGACAACCCTAGGCCTATACATGGATAATGCCATAAATGAATCCTAGATATATGCATTATGTATTGTGAAATACCATTAAAAAATTTAATAAAAATGTTGTATATCTTAAAAATGAGAAGTTTAGAATATGTGTTGGTCAATGAGAAAAAGAATATGCGTTGGTGTTGATTTGATTCAAGTATTGAAATGCGAGGTGGAGAAAAAAAAAAGAAAAAAGAAATGAAGAGAAGGAAAAAAACCAATTGTAAGGTTGTGCATATAAAAAAGCATACATTAATTAATATTTTAAAAGTATTTTCTTGTAGTTTTATTTTAGGAGAATCACAATTAAGGACTTGTTAAGAAAAATGTTCACAAACAAGGATCAATATAAAATTAATTGTTGTTAAAATCATTCTTACCAAGTCCTTTAATGTGATTCTCTCATTTGTTTTTCCTATCTTTAGTTCTCTTCTCTTTTCCAAGATTTTTTTTAGCTATATGTTTTGATCTCAAATTAAATATATTATATTTATTTTATTTTTCATTTATAATAAAATATCTATATTTATTAATTTGATTTTAGATTTGATGATGCCCTCACCAAATTAAAGTAACAAGGACTAAAGTACAAATCTATCCCCAACCATTCTTAAAAGGACTTAATTAATATCTTTAAATATTTAAAAGCATAAAATCATCCTCATATTTTTAAAAATGGTGCAATGTTATTTCACAGAAGAAACACGCTAGCAAAGTTGCCTTTGGCATACAGTTAAGGTATCAACATCATTTTTTTCTAGAAAATAAAATAAAAATGATAAATTTACACGGGTCCTACTTTTATCTACATTCCACTCCTCTTCCTCCTTCTCCTCCTCAATTCCTTTTTTATTTGCCACAACCACATGCTTCTTCTTCTTCTCCACTCCTCTTTCATTAATCTATACCCCGCCGCTCCCTCCCTCCTCACCGACCATTATGCACTATCAGCAACTTTAAAGATCATTCTTCTAGATCTAACTATCAAGTCATTGCTTTTGCTCCTTTAGTTGAGCATCATCTACCATTAGCAACTTTATAGATATCCATTATCTTTACTTTTCATTTTTTGCTCACCTCCATCATCTTCTTCATCACACTTCTCATCAGTGTATTTGTATCTTTGGTGTTCAATGGAGTTCAAAAGTCACTAGCCTTGGGGTTTGATGAAGACATGAGGTTGAAGATTTTGGTGTGCGCATAAAGGTCACAAGTGACAAGGTTTGAAGTTTTTGAAGATCTTACTCTCCATTTTAATTGCAAATCAAAGGTTTAAATGTTCCAGGGGTGAAAGTTTTGTGCCCTATTTGGTACATAGAATTGTTTTCAGTGGAAATGGAGGTAGAAATAGGGTTTAAATGTTTGCTTGGTATGCACATGAAAATGAGAAAAAAAATGTTATTTAATAAATATATTTATATGTAAAAATTCTAAATTACCCTTAAAATAAAAACAAAAAAGAAATCATATTCTTCCTTATCCTTCCAACAAATGACTCCATGAATCTCTCTCTACACCAGAAAATTTATAGTAACAACAATCACACAATGGTGGATCTAAAAGTTTATGTTTAACTAATCACAAACTAATTAGGTTCTTGCGATTCAAAAGTGGCAAATCTAAAAGTTATGTTTAAGAGAAGAAGGATCACGAAATGAGAACAAAAAATCGAAGCTATCATTGAAAGATTGATCACCGTCTATAGTCCTCCATCATCTTCACCACTGTGGTTAGATTGTTTGAAGGAGAAAGGGTATTAGGTCAAAATGGTCAATAAGTAAAGTTTTAGAGAGATGGAACCTGGTTCCTTAAGTCTGGGTATGGAATTGGGTTCCATAAAGAACTGGCTTCCATCCTCTCAAACAAGCAAAAATGTTGGTTCCACTTCCATTATTGTACTAGCTTGCACTTCTGTGCCACAGAACAAGCATTAGTTCTAAGAATTTGGTTCTAGGAATATTGATTTGTGTTAGATGAAGCTTTATGCTCTTTGAATTTTTTTTATTTATGGATGTGAACTCCTTTTGCCAGAAATGTCAATCAATGATTGTGAATTTGAAATTTTTTATTTGCTTCATGTTCATCGATGATGAGAAATGGATATGGGGGAAGAAAAGATGGGCTCAACACTCATTTAGGAGAAAGAAAAAGATGAAGTTGATGCCACATAAGCACAATCAACATCTACTTAGCTCAGGATACTATTGTACCATTTTAAATACTCATGCTTTGTTTGGATGAGGAAAGAAAAGTAAAAATAAAGAAAAGATGATGAGAAAATGAAGTGTAGGACTCATCGCATTTACTCCCCAAATTTTCTCTTCAAAATTGGAGAGATTTTAAGAGTTAAATTTTTGTTCCACCGATTATTGTAATGTCCACCTTAACATTACCATAACAATCCACACATTCACACTATCATGGTAATTAGATTAATGAATTAATCTTGTAAATTACCATGGTAGAAAGGATTATAAAAATTCATGATTTGAATATTCAAAATTGGTTTTAAAACCTTTTTTTGTAGTTTGATCTCAAACAAAATATAAAATCTCATTTAATAATACAACAACAAAAAGGTCATTTCATCTTACAATAGGTTAACGTGCCATAGTTGAAGTGTCACTCACTGCTTCACCATCCGACAAACACTTAATTGAACAATCCTATAAATCTTTAAATATTTGGCTAGTCAAAACTCCCAATTTAGACAAGATGAGATCAAATGCGTTAAGCATCATACAATACCAAATGGCCATTTAACTACATAGCCAAGTTAAGTACTATCCAACATACACTTGCAATGGGTATTTTGGCATCTATTCACTAATGTAATTTAATGCATACATTCCAAGCCCAAAATACAATAAATACAACATTTATATCATGCAAGTGCATCAATAATTATCATGCAATCCTAGTTGGAAATATTATATATTCATACACTCATTTACACACGATCAAAATAGATCTATACAGAATAGTAGATTAATTACTTCCTGCCTGTCTCTTTCCCTCTACTCTTATCTACATTTGAACTTGAAAAATAGTAACCATGAGGTGAGACAAAGTTCTAGTAACCAAGATAATTTAAACTATGCCAATAAGACAAATTATAAACAAGCATGTAAAGAGAGATAATATTTAAAAAAATGTGCTCTTGCCACATTAAAAATTTATCAATTTAATTCATACATGATCATACATATCCACCCGAACCCCATAACAACTCCCGAGTAAATTCATTGGCTAACCAAGTACTGGACCAAGCCTATGTGAACAGATTGATCTAAGCTCACCTACCATGGGAGGTTGTCTGGCCAAAGGCTCTCTCAACTACTTTTTGATTACGAGTTCTCCCTTTACAAATATCGAGATGTTGTATACTCCAACCCACACCCTTTTAGTTGATGGTGGATCTCAAAATATCACTGCCCCTGATTCCCTATGGTGATAGTTTGTACCATATGGATTTTCAATTCTACTTCACCTAAGGTGAAACTCCTACCTTTATTAATGATCATGACTTTCAAATAATGCAACTATCATGCATTCACATTCATATATTACATCAATAACTGATCTTAACAATTAAGATCAATATAACTCAACTAAAGGAACACATTTCATTTAGTATACATTTCATTTTTCTAAAAGCCATTTTCATCCCCACTTTACATATTTCTAAAAGCAACACACAATGCATATTCATATACATATATCATTTCATACAATACTTGTAAACAATTTAACATGCTAATGAACAGGATAAATTATCTTGTTATCTCAACCTTTTTTGTCACAAAAGGATTATCCATGGTAAACAAATGCTCCAACAAATTCCTCTAGCTCAAAAAGGTTCTAAGTTGTAATAATCTGCAAGGTTAAGCACTATATGTTAATTTTCTAACTTAACATAAGTACTCAATAGCTAAATTTAGCTAACCTAAACTATCTATCATTGGGTCAATCAAAATCCTACTTGTCTTCCAACAACTAATTTTATTTAAAAACATAAGGCTCCTTTGAAAATTCATAACTAATTTTAGAAAAATTATTTAGGTATGGTCTGGGTCTCGAATTAAATCTTGAGAAGTTCTCTTTAATGAAAAAATAATTTCCAAGATACCCTATACACAAAAATAACTCATAATTTCAAGAATCCCATTGTTCCATGTTGAAATGACATTTTTTCCCCAGATTTCAAATCCAAATTTTAAAAATTTATAACTAATTCTACAAAAATCCTTTGAGCATGATTCTAGTGTCATGTTTCATATTGAACTGAAAAGTAAGATAAAAAATATCACTTGGAAAACTCTATAAACTCATAGTTCTACAATCTCGAGCAAAATTCACATTAATTGGAGTTACTTGCAATAATTTTCATACTTCTGACCTCCATTTGGAAAAATAATAACCTTCTCTATACTTATTTGTTTATCACAAAAAGGACTAATTTTAAAGCTTATCATGTCCTCTACATCTAATCCAAATTTTGTAGCCAGAATCAAAGTATACTATTCAGTAGCTAGCACGCAACTAACATGACTCAAAACTGGACAGTGAAGAACCAATGCTTGTAGCTCATGAATATCCTTTGGGTTTGAATTGAGAACTTCCTATTAAACACTTGCAGCATTAAACATACACATGAATCAATATTAAACAATATTTCTAATGTCTTAAAGCTTCAAATATATCCAAAAATCAAGCTCAAAATTTTGGGCAGCAAGACACACCCAAAAATCACACATACGAGCTTCCAACTTCATGCTTTCCACCATGATCTTCAGCATGCAAGACCTTAATCACTCAAAACTCAAGCATTTCT